AGGGCGCGTTGAAGGGAATGGCGCAGTGTCTACAAAACCACCTCCATCAGTCGGAACTTCTCGAGGAAGGGGGAAGGGGAGGGTAAGTTGGGCAGAAGAAGAGGTGAAGGGGGGGCATGGAAGGGAGGAATGGAAGGGAAAGAAGGGAAGGAAGGACGGAAGGGAAGGGAAGGAGAGGCGGGAAGGGAAGAAGAAGAGGTGAAAAGGGGGGAGGGAAGGGAGGAATGGGTAGGAAGGTGGGAAGGGAACGGAGGAAGAGAGGGGGAAGGGAAGGGCGCGGTGTCTACAAAACCACCCCCATCCTCGGGGGAAAGGACAAGGGGAGGGTAATTTGAACAAAAGAAGAGGTGAAAGGGGGGGAAGGGAAGGGAGGAATGGGTAGGAAGGGGGGAAGGGAACGGAGGGAGAGGGGGGAAGGCGGGAAGGGAAGGGCGCGGTGTCTGCAAAACCAACCCCATCAATGGGAACTCCTCGAGGAAGGGGGAAGGGGAGGGTAAGTTGGGCAGAAGAAGAGGTGAAGGGGAGGAATGGAAGGGAAGGAAGGGAAGGGAGGGAGAGGGGGGAAGGTGGGAAGGGAAGGGCGCGGTGTCTACAAAACCACCCACCCCCATCAATCGGAACTTCTCGAGGAAGGGGGAAGGGGAGGGTAAGTTGGGCAGAAGAAGAGGTGAAGGGGGGGAATGGAAGGGAGGAATGGAAGGAAGGGAAGGATGGAAGGGAAGGGAGGGAGAGGCGGGAAGGGAAGGGCGCGGTGTCTTAAAACCACCCCCATCCAGCGGAACTTCTCGGGGGAATGGACAAGGGGAGGATAAGCTGGGCAAAAGAAGAGGTGAAAGGGGGGGAAGGGAAGGGAGGAATGGGTAGAAAGGTGGGCACAAGAAGAGGTGAGGGTAGGAAGGTGGGAAGGGAACGGAGGGAGAGGGCGCGGTGTCTACAAAACCACCCCCATGAATGGGAACTTCTCGGGGAAAGGGAAAAGTTATGTTCACCGCTTCCAGCCAGATCCCATAAAACAAAGGAATATTTTTGCCTCAAAAAATGTGAAAACTGTAAAACAAAAAAGCAACCAGAAAAAAACAAATCAAAAAGCAAGAAAAAAGGGGAAAAAAGAAAAAAACAAAAGCAAAGGCAAAAGGAACACATAAAAAGCAAAACTTCAAATCTCAATCTGTATTTGGTTGCAAAAGCAAATACCTGACCTCATGCAAACAAACATTCAAATTACCAGCAGCAAGCAAGAAGAACATGGAGCAAAAACTTATTCCGTCCATTCTAACAATGATAACGATATGATTAAAAATAAAAGGGTTTAACTTGGAGTGACCCCCCCACTAACAGTGGAATAATGGATTTTAATTGTGACTTCCCAGCCAAAATTGCACAACAACCCAGGGACCAAAACCACAAACAATTTGAGAGGCCCAATCTTCTCAATCCAAATTAGAGCTTGCAGAGATTTTGTTGGATAAAATCCCTTTTGGGCAAAGGGAAAGGCAGCAGTGCAGGGACGAGTTTGCTAAGGGACAAATTTTGCTAAGGGGCAAATTTTGCTCAGCGACAAATTTTGCTACGGGACAGATTTTGCTAAGGGACAAGTTTTGCTAAGGGACAAATTTTGCTAAAGGGACAAGTTTTGCTAAGGGACAAATTTTGCTAAAGGGAAAATTGTGCTAAGAGACAAACTTGCTAAGGGGCAAATTTTGCTAATGGACAAATTTTGCTAAGGGACAAATTTTGCTAAAGGGAAAATTATGCTCAGGGACAAATTTTGCTAAGGGACGAGTTTTGCTAAGGGACAAATTTTGCTAAAGGAACTAAGGGACAAATTTTCAGTGACAGATTTTGCTACGGGACAAATTTTGCTCAGGGGCAAATTTTGCTAAAGGGAAAATTTTGATAATGGACAAATTGTGCTGAGCGACAAGTTTTGCTAAGGGACAAATTTTGCTAAGGGACAAATTTTTCTCAGGGACAAGTTTTGCTAAGGGGCAAATTTTGCTAAGGGACAAGTTTTGCTAAGGGACAAATTTTGCTAAGGGACCAATGTTGCTCAGGGGCAAGTTTTGCTAAGGGGCAAATTTTGCCTTGGAGACAGGAATGCTGCAATTTTTTGGGGTGCCTCCAGGCGGTTCAGTGGTGAGCTGGTTTTTTTTTTTTTTGTTTTTGCTGCTCTGGTTGGGTCGCATTTTTTTCGCATTTTTTTCGCATTGTTTTTTGCATTTTTTTGTGTGTTTTTTGCACGTTTTTTTTTAAACATTTTTTGCATTTTTTTGGCAGCTCAAAATATTGCCATGGGGTGACTCCTCTTCGATGAGGTAGTCACACAGCTCTGCCTGCCTGTCACGCGGAGTTTTGGCAACCAGCAATCGGTCAGCTGGAGCTTACGTTCCTTCCTTGAGGTCTCTGTTCAAAAAAATTGCTTACCCAGCTACGTGCTAGCTAGCAGCTAGCAGCTAGCAGCTAGCACAGTTAACACTTCTCACCAAACAGTCCCTCAAAAAAAACAGTCAAACATCCCAGTCGTAACAGAAGCACGGTTCAAACTTGTTCATTCTAGCTGTGGTTTGTTGAGTTTATAAACGATGCACTAAAAACAAATAAACAATTTCAAATTGTGGATGCGGGTCAAATTTTAAAAAGCAAATAAAAATAGTTGTAGTTCAGCTTTGTATTTGTGGTTGTAGTTATAGTTAGTTAGTAGTTGTAATTCTAGTTGTTGTAGGGGTAGTGGTAGTGGTTGTGGTTGAAGTTGTAGTCACAATTTCTTCAGCAATTGCAGTTGTAGTTGCATCTGTAGTTTCTAGTTGTAGGTCTTGTATCTTGCAGGTGTAGTTGTAATGTAATGCAGTCAGGTTGTGGATTGCCGTTGTGGTTGTATAGTGTGAAGTTGTAGGTTAAGTTGAAGTTGTAATTTTCTTGTAGCGGTGTTGTGGAGTACAGTTGTAGGTTGTAGTAGTTGTAGTAGTGATTGTTGTAGTACTGATCATCGTAATTTTGTGTAATGTTTTCTGTTTTCCCAAATCAAGCAATTCTGCAAGACTTCCTCAATTTGGGAAGTTGACAACATCAAAACAAAAAGTTTAAGATGTCACAAAGCGACAAAGCAATTTTGTGAGGCCAGGCTTCTTTCAAAAAACTGAAATGTTCTGTATACCATATGCTACATACTTTATAGTATGCTATATCTGATATCTGTATTTCAATACTATATCCGTATATCTGATATATCCAATTTGATATTGCGGATTTCAGATCCAGCTAGTGACTTTATGTTTTGTCTACTTATTATCATTATGATCGTCTACTTATTCAGAAGGGATTGCAATTATAACTATAGTAATTGTAGTAGTACTTTACTAATTTTAAATCTAATCGAATTCTTGTTTTTTTCTGTTGTTCTTTTTTTTGGTGTTTTTTTTTGCTTTTTTTGTTTTTTTTGCGTTTTGATTTGCTTGTTTTTTGGGGTTGCATTATTGTTTTACATTTTTTCACAAATAAATTGATTTTCAAGTTTATAGGATTCTGGCTATCTGGTGAACATAAGGGCAATGAGAGTGCTCGGATGTCTTTAGTGAGAAATTTTTCGCCCATTTTGGACAGTTTTTTCTTGCTTCAGCTAAATGCCCGTATGGACGTTTTGGTCCAATCCAGGAACTGGTACAGCAGAGTGCCATCGAAAAGCAATCCATCGGATAGTGCCTCACGACTCCAATTTTCGGAGTACCGAAACTCAGTCAGGTCAGTCCCTGACTACTCTCTTGCTTTGAAAGCCCTGGAAAACTCTTGGAAGCTGGATGAGTTGATTGAAAAGGGGAGTTGAGCAGCTCCCAGTGTATACAATGTTTTCCATTTGCAATTTCGCCATTTTTCAGATTTGACTTGGTGGTCATAGGACCACTTCTTGCAGAAGTGCAAATGCCATGTGAAACTGAATGTCAATTTCTTTTTTCAAATGCAACTGACAAAGAGTCATGTTCGAAAGCTCCTGCGGTGGCGACAGAGTGAATGCACTCCACGGAATCTCCCCAATTAACAAGCTGGACAAAAAGTGAATTACTATGAAGTGCGAACTTTAAGAAGTTCATTAACATTATTTGAAATGTTTTGTAAGCGCGCTTTTTCCCACGTTACGCGATAAGGATAACTTCACCGAAGGTGATGATTCTTTATCGTAAGAAAAGTGGGTTAAAGAATTTTTGAGTGTGCTCAAAAATTTTGTTGCGCTTACATTTGTTTGTTTTCTGTGCCTTGTAAGCAAGGCCAAAAAAAAACGGTAAACTCAAACGAAGTGACCGCCGTTTTGTTGTTGTGTGTTGATTGTCTAGTACCTAATGCCTTGGTTCGGTCTTAAGGCTTTTTAGGTGCTAGGTTTTCTTTTGTGGGAACTCCCAACCAACACAAACAACAACTTGCTTTTAAATCTTCTCCTGTTGAGTCTATCATGTTTTGGTTTGTGTGCAAACCATGTTCGTGTTCAACCGCGCTCGCCTCAAACAGTTATAGGGTGGGTGGTGGGAGCAACTGTTTTCCACTTGTAGGAACTCGCGACCCGCCCATAACCCACCCCGCGAGTTCGGGGGGGGAGTTGAGCAGCTCCCAATGTATACAATGTTTTCCATTTGCAATTTCGCCATTTTTCAGATTTGACTTGGTGGTCATAGGACCACTTCTTGCAGAAGTGCAAATGCCATGTGAAACTGAATGTCAATTTCTTTTTTCAAATGCAACTGACAAAGAGTCATGTTCGAAAGCTCCTGCGGTGGCGACAGAGTGAATGCACTCCACGGAATCTCCCCAATTAACAAGCTGGACAAAAAGTGAATTACTATGAAGTGCGAACTTTAAGAAGTTCATTAACATTATTTGAAATGTTTTGTAAGCGCGCTTTTTCCCACGTTACGCGATAAAAAGAGTTTGCATGCAGCTTTTTCATTGTCGAAGCCATTAGGTCCAACCTTGCCACTGTGCACACATTGACTGTTGCTTGCGCCTTTTGTGTGTCACACGTGTGTTTCTTTGAGCCTGTGCTTTTGGCTCTCCTTGCCCAGATTGAGGGTGTGCAGCCATGTCACTGGAGGGGTTGCGTCCTCCACATGCAACGCGCCAGCAGCGAGGAAGAAAGGGCACTCCACAGTGAAAGTTCGATCGGCGTTCACGGTGGGGCGCTTCCATTTCATGCCTACAGACGAGACAAAAGCAGCCGGCGAAGACAAAAGGAAGAGGGAAAAAGAAAGCACACACGACACGGACAAACAGATGCAAGTCTAAGGCCAGGACGTTCCCACAGTTCCACAACAATCGACTCATTCAGAGCACCCTCGTTTTGTGACCACTTCAACAATCGCTTGCCTTCCGTCATGAAAGAGACAAATCTTCCGAAGTTTTGAGGCAAAGCCATGAGCTTTCCTTCGCCTTCAATACTTCCAGAACCGCCAGTAACACTGACGGAGCCAGTGAAGGGGTTTTGCACGGGTCGCTGACCAGGATTGGAATCTGTCCAGCCTGCACGCAAATCATCTCTTTTCTTGTTCATTTCCCTTTCCAGCAAATCCAAGACGTCGGCAAAGAGGCGGACAGCTGCGGAAGTGTTGGTTGCTCCTGGGTGCAGCAAAAACCACCACACGACGGGGTAGATCTGCAAAGTGGGCAAAGCAAATACGGTAGGACAGCTGTGGGCGCCATTGCAGCAGCGAGGGACAGATCCAGAACCATGATGTACTGCCATGGAACTTGCATTGCATTGGCAATATCTGTCCACTGCTGGTGCAATGCAGAGTACAGGCCGTGAAGGATGGCAGGGTCGAAGCTTTCTGATTCGAGCAAGCGGAAGAGGTCGTTTTTCACGTTCTCGTCTGCCAAGGCGCGCCCTGCTTGAACTTTATGGTCTCAATGATCCTCTTGGGGTTCGAGGCCGCCTTGGTCTTTTTTATGCCCGACCCACTTTCAAGCGTGCGATTGAGGTTGAGACGGCGGCCAATGCAATTGCGCCTCAGCGGCGTGGTTTGGAATTTTTTTTCCTCGAGTGTGGCCGATGTCGCGCTAATGGCTCGGTCCTTACATGAGAGTAAGCAGAAAATACACTGTACAAGGACAAAAAGGTCCTTGGAGTCGGCAAATCGATTGAAGCAACAAAGCCGAAAACCACAACCAAACAAAAAACGACGACCCGCAAATCCCCCAGCCAGACTTGCGTTTCGCCAGCGGAAAAAGCGAAGCAAACAGCAGAAACCAAAACACAACCCAAAAAACGGGGCCAGAGCCCAAACAAAAACACCCACCGAATCGATTTGCCATTGGACGCAATGGCATGACCACTGCATCACTATCAAAAACATGCAAAATGAATTAGGGATCACAGCTGTCCAGGCAGACATGAAGACCAGCTTGGGAGTTAACCATAGCATGAGCCAAGCTGTACACGAAAGCAGGGCTACGATGAAACCTCTCTCAGAGTCCTCTCAGATCAACTCGTCATGGGCCTTCATGGACATAATAGTCATCCTCTTGACTGTCAGCCGCGATCACGAAGCCATGGTGTAGTAAGATTAGATCCCCCCTAAAAAGGGGAGGCAGTGATGACAAAGGGGAAGCATTGTAGGCCAGGGATAGGCTTCCAAACATGCCATCTCCAACAAATCCAAACAATAAGGGGGGCACGCCCCTAGTTTCATAGGGGAAAATGCAGCCATCCATTGGATTGGTCTCAGTCAGCGACTTTCTTGGGAGTAGCCGCAAAGCTGAGCAACATGCAGAAAACGCTTGTATCTGTAAAACTGTCTTTGCTAGTGCCACCATACATGTGCTGTCGTAGGCAGTGTAGCGTTCGAAAAGCAGGTTCGCAAAGAATACAAACTACAGAACTGTTCGCGACATTTCAGGATGTCATCGTTCCTGAAAGACCTGCAGTGCATTGCAGTACGTACCGACGAGGATCGTAGCGAAACTACGGACTCACCCACAGAGTAGACAGGCTGCAGAATTACCACATCTTTCCACCAAAAAGCGAACCATGTTGGCAGTCTTGTGCTGCTCGCGGGCGCCCCAGGCAGTTCTACAGGGAGAAACACCGGAATGCACCAGGTGAAGCTCGCTGCAGCACAGTCTGGTCCATGGCATCGGCCGGCCAGCTACCGCCCCTTAGGTTGGATTCAGCTACCGATATAGAGTACCCAGACAGAGGACATACCAAGGGAAGCCAAAGAAAACAAACGAATTAAAGTCGAGTTAACACAGGAGCCCCTTAAAAAGAAGAAGTCAAGCCAGCAAGAAGGGCAGAACAAAGAGACGGCCTTTACGGGCACCAGGCGATACGGCTGTCCTGAGTCACCTTAGCCTTAGTGGGTCAAAAGAGTGCTGTGTCAGTGTCTCTCCAGTCAGTACAAATATAAACCCAACAAAAAACAACCAGATCACCAGAGTTCGTACATTCAAACAAATCTCCATTCATTCGTGACTACAGAGGCAGCACGCAAGGTCCATCCGAGACACAGACAGAGCAGCGACGTGGTTTGGAAGACTTGTTGCTCCGCAAATTCCGCTCTGCTTGGCACGCTCATGCCCCCTGTGCGTCGGTCGCACTCTTCGAGGAATTCAAGGGGTACCGGTTTCGCATCTACACTCTGGCTGCCGCTGCCAAAGACCATTTCTACACAGTGTTTGATCAGCACACAGCAGCGCATGAAAAAGCACATCTGACCTACATGTCCGAGGCCAAATTTCATTTTTCCGTCCAACGCCTTCGTGGCTTCCGCCAGGTCGTTCACCATGTTTTGGTGCATGTTGCAAAATGTAATTAAGCAGTTAAGCCGTGCATAGGCCACTGCGGTGGAAAGGTCTCAAAAGTAAACTGGTAGAGGACCGTTACGTAGTCCTGTGTACTGTCACATGTCATCACCCGCTCGTGAAGCGAAACAAGCAACCAATACACAAAAAACCAAGACAGAAACAAAAACCAAACAAAAACACAAACACACACAAAAACCAAAACAAACAAACCAAAAACCAAGAGCAGTGATGTGACAGGTACCAGTTAATGGGTGACAAGGATAATGTCAGGCAAGAGGTGACAGCTTAGTATCATCTCAGTTCATGCATGATGACAGCTTGTGTGCCATGGTAATAATAGCCCCAAACCACAAAACAAAAACAAAGAGACACGAACCAAGAACCAGAGGCCAAAGCAGAGGGTGCAAGAAGCAACAAAGCTCAATGCAGAAACCAGGGATCCCCGCAGCCAGGATCCCCGAGATCACAAAGAGCAGCCATCCAGGCATGACGTTCACTCTGACACTTTGAAGCAAACACCGACAATGCCGGGTCGCAACAAAAGTGGTGAGAAGAACTAGCGCCGTGACACAGGAGAGTGAAACATGATCTGGTGTGAAACTGACAGAAAAACTGCGGCACTCAGGGCGCGCTCAGAGTCCAGTCTGCTCAGTAATTCTTTTTCTAGCAGCATTAGGGAGTTGCGGTTGCGATGAGCGCCACTGTGCTAGTGCTCTTGCAAGTAATCCTCATGGTATGGGAGGTTGCGCTCGTCATCAGTAGTGGTGATATCTGTGCATTGAGCTCTTCCGAGGACGTGCTAGCTCCTTTGGCTGCATGATCCAGCAACGTGGCTTTTTGCGCTTGGGTTACTTCGTAGCTGGCAGAGATTGTACAACTATCTAATATACAGCCGGTTTGGCGGAGTTGGCGTGTGGCAGCTTCAAGGTCAGTAACCCTCTATTTTGGATGCCTTGAAGCTTCTGAGATGCCTTGGCCAGCAGTTTAGTGGCAGCTTCTACTTTACTGGTAGTGACCTGGCACAGGGTCAGTTGAGTAATTGACTTTGCGAGGCGATGGACAGCAGCATCTTTGATAGGAGTTGGTCGATCCATCCGCCAAGTTAAGCTGTATACAGGGTATTCGGCAGGCGTAGGGCCGCTGGGCGTTCAGTTCATCACTCACTGTTACAACCTTGTCGAGGAAAGACATGGGGAAGTCAGGTGGAAGTCATTTGGCCGGTCGATATGTTGGTTGAATGTTCCCTGCCTGGCATATATTTTTTTGATGGATGGCGATTACACCCGAAGTTGCCGATCCCAGACCACTTGCCACGCGCAAAAGAGGCGCCAGTCCAAGGCACCGCTCTCGCGGCACCTGCACCTGATACGGAACCCAAACGGTCGCCAGAAGAAGAAGCACGAGACATCCTCGCAGTCGCTGCCAAGAACCAGCCCGAAGATGGGCCAAGCACAAGAAGAGCAGCGGTTCGCGCATGCAAGTACTTACGAGCAATGGTCAGCCAATATGAAACCACCATCCAAGCCGTGCACAGTGCCGCCCGCACCCACACGCAAAGAAGCAAAGGCACGGTGGGACCTGCAGTTGACTATCGCCCACAAGGAGAAGCCCTCCCCGTCATCTCGGCGGACCTAACCTCCGAATTGTTGCATTGTCTGTCCACGCTCCCAGACCCATGGCCCCTAGCTAAGATCACCATAGACATGGAGAAACCGAGCCAATGGGTCTCAAAGTTGTGCAGACTTTATTTTGCTGACGAGTATGCCAAGCGAACAGTTGGGTTGCCCTCGCGTAGGCATGTTCCGGACATCGCGGGTGCACTACGAGCAGTTCAAGCCATCCTCCCTAAACTCGAAGTCAAAATGATTGAGTTCTTAGCTGGGGATGGTAACTCTTCTAATGCCAGCCTCGCACGTATTGGAAGTGAGGGCACCTCACCTTTCCTTTATGATGCTTAAGGAATACTGGTTTAGAGAACTTTATCTAGGCCTGAAAGTCACGGCGTCCTTTGACCGCTCTGAATCATACACTAGAGTGGTCGATGGTCAAGTAAGATGTATCACGCCTGAAGTCAAGCCGCAGAACCTACAGGTTATCTGGAATGTGCAGTTCATCACAGTCTTTGTGCCGGCATGGATGATCCCGCCCGTCTATCATAGCCTGCGCAGAGAAAGCATTAAAACTACCAGTTCTGCAAGTCCCATAGGAGTCCAGTCAGTCCGTCACACCTGGTTTGAAGACACAACACCCAGGGACACTACATCCCAGGAACCTCAAGACCCTCAGAAAGAGCAACCCCAGCCACTGCATGGACTGAAGTTAGTCATCAAAGAAGAGGTGCTACCAGCGACTGACCAACCACAATTCCAGTCACTTGAGCTCCTGGCTGGCAGAGGTCTCTTAGCACCTGACACATGGAAGTGCAAACGTGCACAAGTCAGCCTTAAAGCAACTATCGATGTCCCAATGTTGGGTACAATCATAGAGGAAAATGGTGACGGACTCCTGGAAGATTCCCATATGCCTGTGGGATGGCCACTCCACATTGATGGCGCTGTCAGACAATGCTGTATTCACAGAGCTGCGAGCTTACAAGAATTAGATGACATGCTCAAAGAATATGACATGAAAAGGGATTCAGTAGAAATCAACCGTGACGCGCCCCAATGGTCCCATCATGCAGTATGGAACCGAAAGTATATGGAACCAAACCCAGAATACACACTGGAGCAACTATGGGCCGACTCC